ACTCCAGAAGTAGAAGAGCACGGATCTATTCCTCTCCACAGTACTTTTTATTCTCCGCTGTAGTGTATTGACCAATGTACTAGTGTTTGCTCCTGCTTGTCCCCACAGTTCACAAGGAAAATCTGTTCCACTGCTATATTTTAGTGAATATCCTTTGCTGGCTGTTATTAGAATGGGATACCTAGTCCTGGCATTTACACTAGGAAGGGAGATTTTTTCTTTCTCTAAAATTTTTTGTAACTTTAGTTCAGACATTAATTGTTACCGACATATGGACACTTGATATAAATTGTCGGTTCTACGAAAAATACTGAAGCTGACTTGTTCAAGGAATAACCTGACTAGCACGGTTTCCATGCTGGGTCAGGTTATCACTGTGTGGTCCAGTAATCTGAACAATTAGGGGATATACAAGGACTTATAATAAGAATACAAAGCTAAATAAAGTATTGCAAGTCTAAGTAAAGGATTTACATGTCTAAAGTAATGATTCACTGACTAGCACGGTTTCAATGCTGTGTCCGAATTTCAATGAATGGTCAGTGGTATGAATAATTTATATTCATGAAACATTGTACTAATGTGAGCTAGCCCAGGCAACCATGCATATATGAATTGTACGTGTTGTAGCAGGCCATTGAAATATATGGAAAGAATACTGTAAAGGGCCGGTTTCCAAAATGGCCCCTTCTCTGATTCAAATTTCCTGTTGGTGGTGCATTGCCCATGCCGTTGTGGTCACAAATCTATAAAGTATAAAGATTTAGGTCACTTGGTTTGTTTTTTATGGCTCCTCAAAGTTGTACCTTTCAGAAGCTGTCTAAGTGTTGATAAAATGTGCATGTTATGTAAAATATTAATGAAAATCTAATCAAATGATGGTCACCGTAAAGAATACATTCATGGCATGATTGTGACAAAAAATCATGTTTCCATCGCGCCATTTGGCTGTTTTATGGAAGAAACAATCTCAAAAATGCCATTTTCGATGATAACATTTTAGACACAAAAACTGTGTTTTTTAGAGAATACACCCTTTTATGGGCGTTGGATGCAAACCAATTTTTATCCTATTAAACAGTACGTAATATGCTATTGATGAGAGGAAAAATCATCAAAATGTAAGTGGTGGAACATTTTCAAATGTTGGGTTGAATTAGCCTATGGTTGAATTGCCGATTTTCGACTTTCTTTAGATAATTAACAAAAAAACGAGAGTATTTGCTCGGTATGTTGAGAATATGTACACAGATATGAAAAAAAGTGAGAGAAACACTTTTTCATAAAAAAAATCCAAGATGGCTACTTCACAAGTCCCCGTGGTTGAAGACATTGGCTGACAAATAGACAGAACAACAAACAAAACGTGTTCCTTATGATTTTGGTTGGTTTTCGCATTTACGGGAGTGTTCATAGCTACGGGCGATTGTATAATACCTATATTTATAAGTTTGGTTAGTCACATGGTAACGGGGATCTTTCATATCGAGCCCCAAACATACTTTCGACATATGCACTCCGTTGCCGCATGGAAAACTATTTCAAGTTTTGTCGGAATTTCTTTACCTGTGGTTGTAATGGTCGAGGGTTTTCCAGCGTCCTGTAATACCCAAGGTAGTACAAGATACTGGAGATGTGCGCACACATTCCCATCGTTCTCTCTCCAACTGGGCACTGGCAGTAGTAGTCCTTTATTGGGGCCTCAACATCGGGTGAAACGGTGAACCGTATCCAAACGTTATATTTCGTTTGGCTTTTGTGTCGAGAATGTATTTGACATCGGAGAAGGTCTGGGGAGTGCTGGTAAAGCCACACCTCATAGTCTCCGTCATCACTTAAATGTTCGGCGATGTAACCAGGAGCCAGAGATATCTGATACGTTCCACACGTAATGGTTCTCAAGTAATCAAGATCGAGACGGGGAAACAGTACGGAAGATGCATCCATCTTGACAAACTCGGACCTTGCCCGTCTAGATAGATCCGGATCTGTCTTGACTCTCTGAGCTAAACCATTCGGTGTTGTCAAACGGTCCTTCATACGTTCAGCCATTAGCCTATCTTTGGCATCTCTCTCTGGAGATCTCTGGTAGATCGGTCCTCTAATACCATTCAGACAGGCTGTGACGGTTCGAAGCAAAGCCTCGATGACATTGATAAAGCTGTTAGACACCAATTGCGTTCGGAAGAACGTCCAGTGTTTCAGACGACCATGATAGGATTCCACAATCCACCTCGATTTGGTGATAGTTCTGTCAAGATTTGCTTGGACGTCAGAATGTTGACTTTGACCGGGTTTCAGGTATGACGGCATGCTAGCATTGAGGCCAGAGGCTTCGAGAACTGGTAGGACATCTCTAAAACCTCGGTCAACGACAACGTTGTCGTCTGGTTGTAGCCAAGTAACTAGCTTGTCCATGACTTTTTTTGTAATTGTAGCATCATTTTCGCTGCCATGATTGGTCCTACTGTTTCCAGAATGTTAGCCATCTGGTAAGGCGATGCTCATGAATTTGAGATAGTTTCTCTTCTTCTGGCCACAGTAGGACATTCTCTGGAGCTTGTGGTCGGAGCTTTTCTGGATATAAATATAGGTGCCATCTAATATGGCAGTGGCTTTATCTCCAAAAAATGCTTCTGAAAAGACAGTATTGTGCCCGAGCAACTGTTCTCTTGTCAAGTGATCCGGACCTAGAAATTGTGGGACTATCGATGTGTCTAATGCCTGTACTATGGAGTGGAAAGTTTTGGACACACTTGACTTGGAAATTCCAAAAAGAGAAGAACACTGACTCCAGGAAATGTCGGTTTTCAGTTTTACCCAGAACAGTAATAGAGCATCGTGTGTAGTCTTGGTATATATACCAGATGAAAGATATGGGGAACAGTGCGAGTGGATTTCGAGGAACTGATCTTTGGACCAACCTGTCCAGGCCATGCATGCCGAGTCATCAAGAGAAGAAAAGCTTATTGTAAACGCAGACTGGTTCTGTGAAAGGACGTGCGACACCTCTAGGAGGTCATTAATGATTTCGGACGATTTTGATGGTAACTGAGATTCCAAGGAACCTCTACCATCAAGGACAACCTCTGTAGACGGATCTAAGTCGTTACCAATAAGGTGAATGGAGCAGACGCGGGATGAGGTGGGACACCACAGTTTGTGTGAATAGATCAGGTGATGTCTTGCACGTTTTGGTAAGACTGATGATTTTGTTCCATTTCTTGCAAAGGTAACAAGACAGAGACAGCATTTTTTGTGTGAAGATGATCCATTCAAAAGATCATGAAGGGTCAGCAACGGCAGGATATGGGACGGGGAGTCGTCTTCTTCCTCTATTTCCTGGTTCTGCTCGGGTTCAGGTTCAGGCTGATTTTTGTTCCGAAGATACTTCATGTAGCACTTCTGGCAAATAAGTGCTTGTTCCTTTGCTGACATCAATCCTTGTTGCACCAGCGTATCTAGGAGCCATTTATATTGTGGACTATTTACATTGCGTGCACTTCTGTTCTTATTGCCACTACGTTTCTTGAAGTATACTTGACACCCTTCTCCAACACATTTACCCTCCATCTTGAAACAATAACGATTGGTTTATGAAGCGTCGATAAAGTAACAAAATAGCAAGCCACCGATGATTGCTGTAAACAGCTAATACTTAGTAGTTTGGTACAATTATGCGAAAATGTGTGATAAATAACGAACAACTAATTACACAAAATAACAAGACAATATAATAAATCACATTCAATACCTCCAAGAAGCGCAGAATTGATTGATTACTTAGAACAAAATAAAGTATTTCATATGGATAATCTATCTATTCGATGTGGCGTGGTCGGCAGGCACAAAGAAAGTGAGACAAGTCAGGGTCCCAACCCTGACAGAGCCACAACGCTTTGGAGATGGGACAATAAAACAAGGAAAGTGAGACAAGAATAGCTAGCGTCGAGTCAATGATTCCGTAAACGTATAGACAAAGACAAGAAGATACGGATAAATGTACAAGGCCACACGATCAGAAAATTCAGAAGAGGACAACTTGAGATAGAACAGTATTCATGTATCAGGGTGTCCTCAGTGTAAATCTTTATATCGATACTGTTTATTTAGTCGTTACACATCATAAAACTGTCATGAAAATATCCGCTCTGATATTCAATATAAAAGTTTGTATATAATAAGCTATATAATAGGGTTTCAGACAAGGTTGTTACTCATTTCCCCTTTTCTTTCAATTTACAACCACATTCAGGCGGCGATATGAGAACGTTCCACCACATGGAATTAGCTGATTTTTGGTACACATATGAAACAAGTAAAGCTCTATCCGATTTTCTGATGGAAATTTGCATCCAAAACTATATAACGGGAGAAAATTGCAATTTTATGGCATTTTTCTTCATAATTGTGTCTCTGCAAGTGCATTTTCATCCGAGAATTTTTTTTTTTATGTTTTATGAATAAACACGATGTTTTGGAAATATTTATCAAAAGAAATTTATACTATGTTGCGAATTACAATTTCGAGATAACCTTCTTTTATTTACGAACTTATGTCTTTGATGCTGAAATTGACAACTTTATAAAAATACATTTTCACTGAAATTATGAAATCTGGGTGTCGGAAAGGTGTAAAATTATTCTTCGGAGATAAGAAATTATACGGGGGCAGGCTCCTATGGAGAATTAACATTACTGGAAACAGGCCCTTTCCCTGTTCCGACTGGGGGGAAATATAAATATGTTATGTTAGGTCTAACTAACTATTTGAAAAACAGGGAAGACAAATGCTTGCTTTTATGGTGTGTTTTCTAAAATAAAGACTATTATAACTTTTATTCATTAAGCATTCATCTGTCGAAGACTTTCCGATATGAACAAAAACGTAGTAGATTTAGCCCAAAAGCCTTATAAATCAGACACGGAGAAAAATCCGGGTTTTAGTCCTAGCCCGTAATCCAGAATCTTTATTTAACGCATGTGCAACAATACAAAAACCGGAAGTTACAAGTGTTTCTATTTGGATTTAGTTTCGTGTTTTTTTCAGGAGAGGCAAAAGTGTCGTATTCACCATGTTGGTGTCAGTGACTACGTTAAATGACCAGATTTTCACGCTTGAAGTTTCTGATGAACTCGAATTAGAGAATTTCAAAGCGATGTGTGAATATGAAGTAGGGATATTGGCGAGGGAAATTGTCGTCATGTGGAATGGTCGGCCTCTTCACGACGGCAAGCGGACAATGAAAGAATATGGGATAAAGAATGGAGATATGTTATTGCTTCAACAGATACGGGGACAGCAAGGACAACAACAGCCGTTCACGGATTCTTCCCCATCAGGTCAATGGGAGAATCTTACTTATAACAAAACAGTTCATAGAGTGCAATGCCCCCCTCCCCCACCGCATGAATCGGACACTGAATAAATAGAAAGGAAAACTTAATTTAACAGGATGATTTCTTTTTTAATATCTAAGGCCTTTTCACTTGAACACCAGTATGGATGCCGTTAATCCTGTTGTATGATCATTAGGCACATAAGGAAAACAGTTCTTTTTTGTTATTTGTGTAACAGGAGAGGAAAAATGCAAGGCCAGAAGGGAACCTTACCTCAGAAATCTACTGTAGACAGACGCTCTACCAATTAAGTTATCTGGTTACCGACGATGGATCCAGTCCAGTTTCGCAACATTCCTCCCTCTTTTTTATAAGTCTTCGTGGGACGAAGATTCAACTAATTACAACACAGAGTGGGGTATCCCCTTGCCAAGCATATGCCAAATGCTTGAAACAAGGGTTGGTCACAGACACCACTGTAACAGGAGAAAAAAATGCATTGCCTGACCAGGGCTTGAACCGCGGCCCTTCCGAACTCTAGACAGAAGCTCTTCCAATTGAGCTATCTAGTTGCTGACGATTGACCCAGTCCAGTACTGTTACATTTAGGACATGTCTTGGTGTGTGTACTGAAGACCGACACTGATAACATAGACCCTACTTGAACCAACCAAATCCTGATCTAGCACTTAAGTTAATACCTCAATGGGGTTGTTGTATTGGTGGTTGTGTGACTGCTGATGGCCAGGGTAGCTTAATTATAATTGGTTAGAGTGTCTGTCTCGTACAGTTTAGATGTCCTGGGTCTCTCCTGTTATGATTACACATATATCTAATATATAAGTTTATACAATGTTTGTAGCTATTGATAGGTTTTCTAACTGTTATAAATATTTTTCAGGTGTTCCAAATATTGACTTCGGTCAAATCCAGATTCCTGGTTTGATGGGAGCCACATCATCTGGATATCAACAGCAACCACAACAGGGATCATTTCCAGAAGATGACCCTGCTGCAGTGCGAAAACTGCTCCTAGCAAATCCCCATGAACTGTCCCTACTAAAGGAGCGGAACCCACCCCTGGCCGAGGCCCTTTTAAGTGATGACCCAGGTCTGTATATATATGGGATAGTATCATACTGGTGAAAAGCAGAAGTGATTGATTATAATGTATATTCAATAGTTATAGGAGCTATTGAATCTTGAGATTTACTGCACTCTATTGTAGTAATACTGTTATAATTTGAGTTTTACTAGTAAAGCTGATACTACAATCATGATATTTCAACAATGTAAATCTATCTATGTGGTTTATATTTTAATCATGACACTCGGGATGATATATGTCAACAATGTAAATCTATCTATGTGGTCTATATTTATAGAAAGTAAGAAGGATTACCCATACTTATTCATATCATTGTAAAAAACCCACATGCAAGTGAAATAAATTGAACTGAATTGTGCATTTCTTTGAACATGAAAATGATGCAGAATTATATTGTTCATGACATCCTTTCATGATGTGCCTTGGTCATTGAAGTTATCCAGGCCAGAATGTACATGTGCAAATGAGAAAATTTAGAAAAGTTACAGTATATATTTGTTATATTATACTGCAGTCAAAACTTATTTTGATTGACCAACCACATGCTGTGTTACCTCTCAAATGAATAAGGTGATTTATATTCAAGTATGTAAATGTATATCAACTGGCTGCATGCCATCAAATTTCGATTATTATTTTTTTCAGAAAAGTTCAACAAAATATATTTAGCTCAAAGAAAAGAACGTAAAGAGAAGGAGCGTGAGAAGATCAAACTAATGAATGCAGACCCATTTGATCCGAAAGCACAGGAAGTGATTGCAGAAGAAATTAGGATGAAAAATGTTGAATCAAATATGGAGAATGCAATAGAGTTTGCTCCAGAGAGCTTTGGGCAGGTGCTAATGTTATATATAGACTGTCGAGTTAATGGCCACGCTGTCAAGGCATTCGTTGATTCAGGTAGGTATATCTTACTATCTATATAACTCAGCCATATATCTATCAAATGAAACAATTACTATTTGAACAGGTATTATAGCGAATTTAACTGCTTTTACCTCTATTGGTCTTATACTGTACCCCTGTCTGTGGTTTCATGCATGTTCTTTTATTTAAGGTCAAGATTTTATTAACTTCCAGTGTTCCCGAAACCAACAAATGATTTTTTTCTAATTTTACCCTCAAATTGGATTGTACCCTTTATTTTTAAAGTCAATCAAATATAACCTCAAGTTTACATTTATTTTTTTAAAGGCATTGTGATATGCAGGGCAAAATGTATTCTATGCTAGCAAGCAATGTAGGAATGCATTTAAACAAGTCACTTGTGATGAAAATACATATATAAATGATGATATATTCAGATGCAGTAAATGGCTCTTGTGAATGGAAAATTATGATACATTATATAGGTGCCCAGATGACCATTATGAGTCAGACCTGTGCAGAGAGATGTAACATCATGAGGCTTGTCGATCCACGCTGGGCTGGTATAGCGAAGGGTGTGGGTACTCAGAAAATCATCGGCAGAGTTCACTTAGGTTTGTATCATTGTCCATGTCACCGTTCTGCCATGAATAGTGTTGTGTACTTGTATAAACAAAGCTCCACTGTATTTTACCATGTTTGTATGATTACATATATTGGGCTATTTCATCTATATACTGGTAACCGCCATTTATGACTTTTGTAAGCTCAAAATAACACAATATGACCTAAAGAATCTACTGAAAATAGAATTGTGAAAACTTTGATGAAATGTATGTATTTTGTATTAATCCAGTCTACCAGATGGTCAAACAATCTTGTTTGCTCAGCTATATGTGATAACATCAATTTATCTTTGAGCTGCATGTTTGTCATTACCTGAGATACTGTAATAATACCTGTGGCATATACCCATGTGATTGGTAAAATTAATGACAATTAAATGTTTGAAAAATATAATATGAAAATTAAAGGGAGATAAGTCACTAACAAACATCATGTCCCATCACTGCAGTTATATAATTCACAATCAAGTTACATTGGTTCAGGAAAAATGGTAGCTGTATAGGTGATACAACTAGACTGCATATCAACAATACAAAATCATAGTATTTAAAGGTTGTATGTGAGGTTTCTGACTGAAATCTGAAAAATTCTGAGATTGAAAATAATTTGCCATTTACTGTTAAAAAGTCATATAGGCTGATTTACTTGATCAAATTACTCCTTACTACTTGACAGAAATCATTAATTGTACCAATATTGTTCAATCTTTTACAGGTCAAATACAAATAGAAAAGGACTTCCTTCAATCATCTTTCTCAATACTGGAGAATCAGCCCATGGATATGTTGCTTGGTCTAGATATGTTAAAACGCCATCAAGTAAGTATATCTACCCTTAAAGTAAAGGTAAAGGTTATTATGACTATGAAGGTAAAAGACATTTTGTCATTATTGAAAATATTTGTTTAGTCCTTTTCTGAAGAAATAATCCATATATAAGTCACATATATGTTGCATTGCAATTAAGAGGGTAACAGACGTTGGAATACACTTTTTTTTTTATCTAAAACCAAAACTGCCAATCCTTCATTTAACCAATCTAGATATCCAGAAATAATAAAGGCACAGCATCAAAACGAAAGCCTAGTTTATTGGCCCTTGGCCTACAAAACCAAAAGGCCCACAGGGCCTGTATCGCTCACCTGGAAATGTTAGCAAAATTGAAGTTGAAATAGCCAGATTTTGCTATACATGTACTACATGGTTAGTCTGCAGGGGTTATTTTTATATGCAATTGGACAAAATCCTGTCATTCCTACAAGACCAGGAGGAATTTGAATAATTTGCTATGTTTCCACTATTGGGCTAAGCCACTCTGCACCAGGGGGGTGGGGGGTCAGACCCATTGTTTATACAAAATTAGTTCCCCTGTACCCAAGGATGCTTCAGACCAAATATGGACATAATCCTATTATTCATACAGAAGAAGGATTTTAAAGCTATTTTCCTTATATGGCCCCGCCCCTTCATCCCAGGGGGTTTAAACCCACAGTTTATACAAATTGGTTCCCCTTCACCCAAGGGTGCTTTGTCCAAAATTTGGACAAAATCCTGTCATTCCTACAATAGAAGAAGTATTTTGAAGAATTTGCTATGTTTCCACTATTGGGCCCCACCCCTCTGCCCCAAGGGGTCAGACCCAAAGTTTATATAAAATATAGTCCCCTTCACCAAAGGAAACTTTAGACCAAATATGGACAAAATCCTATCATTCCTACAGAAGAAGAAGAATTTTAAAGAATATGCTAAATTACCCCTATTGGGCCCTACTTCTCAGGCCCCAGGGGGGCCACACCCACCGTTTATACAAAATTGATTTCCCTTCCCCATAGGATGCTCCTGTTCAAATTTAGTCAAAATACCTTCATCCCAACAGAAGAAAAAGGATATTAAAGCTATTCCTCTATATCCCTTATTGGACCTGCCTCTCTGCCCCAAGGGGGGGTCAGACCAACCTTTTATACAATGTTGGCTTCCCTTCATCAAAGGGTGCTTCATACTGAATTTTGACAAAATTCTGTCACTCCTACAGAAGAAAAAGGATTTTGAGGAATTTGCGCTATTTTCCCTCATGTGCCAAAAAGGGCCACACTCAGTGTTTATACAAAATCGAGTCTCTTTTGCACAAGGATGCTTCAGACCAAATTGGGATGAAATCCCTTCATCCCTATGGTAGAAGAAGGATCTAAAAGGTTTTACCTCTATTTCCCCCATTTGGCCTCGCCCCTCTGCCCCAAGGGGGGCCACAACCACTGTATATGAAATTGAGTCCCCTTGGCCCAAGGATGCTCCAGACTAAATAAGGATAACAACCCTTAACCCTATGATAGAAGAAGGATTTTAAAGGTTTTACCTCCATTTTCCCTATTCGGTTTGCCCCTTTGCCCCAAAGGGGGACCACACCCACCGTTTATACAAAATTGAGTCCCCTTAGTCCAAGGATTCTCCAGACCAAATCAGGATAAAATCCCTTTATCCCTACGAAGAAGAAAGATTTTAAAGGTTTTACCTCATTTCCATTATTTGGCCCTGCAACTCTGCCCTCAAAGGGGCCACATCCATGGTTTATACAAAATTAAGGATGCTCCAGACCAGTCAAAATCTACTTGGCCGTTCAGGACTAGTAGCGTTTTAAAGGAAAAGTTGACGGACGGACGACAGACACTGCAGTATACAATCTATGCATGGCATAAGCTCACCATGGTCCTTTGGACCAGGTGAGCTAAAAACAAATGTATACCTCTATCTGGGATGTACTGAATGTCTTAAGCCAGAAAACCTCATTTCGGTTGCTTCAACATTATAAGGTAGAAGAACACTCCAAGTGAAAAATAATTCTAGACTACAAGTGGAACTCTTCATCAGGATTATAATTGATGCAATGGTACCCCTTATCTTAAGAATTCTTTTGATTCCAAAACATGAAAATATAACATTGTAGCTATATATTTTTTTAATTACAAAATGCTCGTAATTTGAGAGCTAATTAATAAACCATTATTTTTCAAACCAGGAATTATTTTTTCACGTAGGTATATACAAATTTAGGGGTCTGATTGGATGGTGAAAACAATAGCATTTTGTTGGGTGGTAGGTATAGCATACAGTGCATACGTAAAGCCCAAGTTGTTTGTTTCTAGTACTCTATATAGACATGTTTGACCCGAACCATTTGTTCACAGTACATTTTACACTTGAATAACAGGTTATGTTTGTTTACAGTGTTGCATAGATCTGAAGAGGAATAAATTAGTGATAGGTACCACAGGAACAGAGACTTCATTTTTAACAGAGTCCCAACTTCCTGAACAATCTCGTCTTAACTACAACCATCCACCATCACCTAAGTCAACATCCCAGGAGGATCAGCAACTAGCTGAGGCTCTTGCTCGATCTCAGGACGAGACTGGCGGTATGTACATCTAGTATATGTAGAGGAAATCNCCCCCCCCCCCCCCCCCCCCCCTAAAATAAAATGTTGGTTGCATAATTGAAACAACTGGTATTCATCTGGAAACATGAAATACTCTTGTTAAAACATTTGGGAAGAACAAATATGTAGCTGAATAGACAGTTGTTTTCAGTAACATGTAAATGGGGGTCCCTGATTGTTCCTGTTGTTTGTTTTCACATTAGAAACACTCTGATTGATGAAGTTGTTTTACATTAGAACAAATATTTCATTTTACAATAAAATATTACATATATACATAGGTGTCAGGCAGAAACAGAATTTAAACTAAATGGGTTGTATTAAGGATTTTAAAACTGTTACCAGGTATACAACTTTCACACTTTTCAGCCTACAAATTAAAGTCTTTTGTAATAATTAAGAAATACACCATGTTCAAGGAATAACGAGTTGTCACATGTATCAGCTTTAGAAAAGAAGTTTGATGATCAAATCAGGTATTCATATTTTAATGCGTAAAATTTATAAGTTGCAGTAATGTTCATAAAAACCAAAAGAACATTTATTAACCTTGTTTATATTCAATCTTTCAGCTTCTTCATCCAGATCTGCTGGCTCTTCTAACTCGCGCTCATTTCCAGAACAAGTTGTACAAGATCTAATGAGCAATGGTTTCCCAAGGGACCGTGTTATAGAGGAACTCTCCATCGCCAATGGCAGCAAGGAGGCAGCTCTTCTGGCCCTTTTTGCAAAGGCTTTCACAGTTCCATAGTCAGGATTACACAATGTAGATGGTTGTCATGACGATGTGTGCATGGTTGACATACTGATGTGGTTGAATATGAAAGGATGTAAGAGGCGATGTTGTGGTACCCTGACAAGGGAACATTTTGAGAATGATACAATATTGATAAGCAATCTATGCATAATTAACGAGGAATTGAACGTCTAAAGGATAAGATTTTGTGCCAATGTGGGTTTGCATGATATTCATTATGTCTTGATATATATTGTTTACTCCTTAAGGATCCCTGTACCACTGCCAAAAATTGCAAATATGCATATATTAATAAATGGACAATTTTTTTTCCAGCATGACCATAGCTTTTACAAATCATTTCTGACATTAAAAACCATGCCTTTGAGAATGTTCATAAAAAAGTAATAAAGATGAATTAAACAGTTACAATGTACCTGGTCAGTGGTAGTACCCAGTGAAGTCAGTACTGCCATCGTTATACACTATACAGCCATAGTTAAGGGGAGATAACTATATTTTAAATATTTTCTAGTAAAGATCCCTAGTGCGGTATACCTGCAGTGGGACAAGGATACTTACGTTTGTTTCACAAAGGATTCATTTTCACTGTTCATGTTCATTGTATTTACTTCCAAAAAAAAGACCTACTGATTTGTTGTCATTTAAATACAACTGTACGTAGATTTTAGTTAACTGTAATAGGAGTCAGGACTGTTATTGAATTTCCTCAGAGACCAAAATAAAACCATGAAAATTTGACCCTGTGAAGCTGTGATAGTAAAGTGCTATACAGTACAATGCATGTTAATAAGGAGTAACACAAAACCTACCCAGCAATAAACTTTAATACAATGAAACACTGGTTCAGGGGGAAAGGAGACAATCTTTTGTCATGTAAATTATTTTGTAATATAGAAAAATTTAGTGGAAGAAAGTTTTCAGATTTCTTTTCAAACAAGATGAGTTTTCCAGTAAAAAGATAATTTTGGAGAAAAAATATTCACATGCAGTTGTTGTTATTTTGTATTTACTTTATGGATATGTTTTAAGAGCAACATCAATACAGACAGTCCCATATAAATAATTTAAAATTTCGCATCAGACCACTTACAACTGTCAATTGTCCAAACTTCAATTTGTCGTATTCCTTACTGTTGTTAATGTTTTAAGTTATTGTTTTATTTCAAGTTAACAAGCTTGGAAGGAATGCAGAGTGTAACACAATATACACGTGAATATAATTAATTATCATTTCAAAATTATATTCAGTTTTCTTACAGTAGCAAATTTTAGGGGAGATAATTTGAAATTGTACAAAATAAGATACATATGTCTTGAAAAAGGAATCATTTATGGTATGTTGTACTAAATGAATACCTAAGGGTTCCTTGGTTTACAGTTTTTGTTTAAAAAAAATTGTTGTTTACTTGATCCTTTATCATCTAGTCCTGTAACTACTTACATTTCACCCTTGTGGAACACAACACACCTAAGGTTAACAGATATTTATGTTCCCCTCAAGGAAGGTTAACAAGTATTAATGTTAAAATTGTTTATTATAACTGAAATAGAACAAAAGCACAATAGTAAAGAATGAGGAGATATAACCAGATACTGTAGCACGAGAGGGGAAAAACATTTTTTGAATGGGAGAAATATGTTTCCGGAGAATTTTGAATGAGAAAATAGAAAGCCAGAGATGAGAAACACATTTTGTTTTAAAGGCTTGATCAGAATCAAATTCATGGTTATATTTATAACCAAGATGATAATAATGTAAGTCATTTTTTTATTTATGAAACTTTGGATAAACAGAGGTGTAGGTAATGGTTAAGCATATCATTCTTTTTATACCACATGTGGGTAACATATGCATGATGGGAGAATTATTTTTGTTGGTTAATATATAGGTCAAATTATTGTACCAACTTTTACTTTACATTTTTGTAAAGTGATGCTTTGGAACATCATACTTAATGTAGTCAATGTGACACCATGCTCATCTAGATTTTTTCCTGGGTTTGAAACTGGAGTAACATTGTGTGTGAATATGTAGTAAAATTCTGCCACCATTTCTCTAGCGAAATGTTGGTGTTATAAAGGGTTTGGCAATAAACTGAGGGAACTTTTCAAAGGAATTTTAACAATAAGAGGGAAAAGGAGTAATATGGTGGCTGTTAGCGGGGTGGCAAATAGAACGAATGGCATCATATCAAGGTTTTAATATACAATTTACTACGTCAATTACTGATTAATAAGTTAACTGTCACGATTATCGAACTTGTTGGTAATTAAAAAATTGAGTTTAAACCGTTCCATCAAACCTCATGGCTATTTAAATAAGCATAACAAACCATCTCTAATTTTGGAATGTTTTTTTCATAATTATTTCTGATCTCATATTTACATGAATACAATCTCAATATAATTATATAGGTAATGAAAATAATATATCAAATGTCAAATGTATACATGAAGGCAGTACAATAGAGGTTTGACAGAGTGAATTGATCATATCAGTGATTATTTTATGATGCAATGGTGTTAATTGTCCATCAGGAAGATAATAAACAAGGAATAATTAAGTTTTTGTTCGTTTTTTTATTGATTTAATTATTACCATGAAGTACTATTCACACACTTGTGTAGTGCATACAGTTACACACACTCAAAATGTAATGTACAATGTACCACATTGGAAACGTACCCGCGAAATGGTCAGGCACTCGGAATTCATTATTCTGTTCTCTCTGCTACCCAGCTGAACAAATATTCAGTTATAATAACAAAACTATCTTTTTATAATTCACTTTCTCATAAGGGCAAATAGTTCAGCATGCACATCTGTTGTCTTTTAGCTTCCGTCATACCTCATATTTTCCTGTGATGGATTCCAAAAAAAGCCCCGAAAAATGACCTTTACCTACTTTCAATGTCACAGGGTTCAAATGTCAAAAAAATGTAATGACTTCTTCTAATGATATTTGGCTGGTTCTTTTCCTGGGATGGAGCTTGTCAATATGTGTTTTAAAAATGGTACCTTCAACCTACTTTAATGCTCAAAGCAGTCGAGCATGTCAAAAACATCAAACAACTTCAAGAACCAATAGGCCTAGTGTCCTAATATTTTACTAATGACTCCTGGGAGGGATCCCAACTAGGATTTTCAAAACAAAAACTCCTTTTAAGGTTACAGGGGTCAAATATGTGTGATTCTTCAAACAATTTCTCCTGAAGATCCCATAGGCTTAGCTTCAAATCATGATATTTTAGCTGGTATCTTCTTGTGATGTATCCTAAAGAAATTTGCAAAAAATCCGGCAATTTTGTGTTTTTCTGCCAGGTAACATGCATGTTAACCTTTCTTTTTTTGCTGAGTAAACATACTGAAGTCTTTGATAATTATAACACAAAATCATTGAACAGATAATTTATTTTGAAATCTGGGTATACATTTGAAAAAATAATTGCATAGTTCAAACGTTTCTAATATGACAAACATTATCATAACTTAACATAAACTGATGTAAAAATTGAAAAGTTTAAAAAATAGTGTCCATCAGTGCACTAAAAATATCTGTGTAAAAATATATACATGTACATTCATACACGTATAAACTATAACGTGAGCAAATCAGTACTATAGGTATCTATAGTAACTCATTCAAAATGTACCAAAAAATTGATCTAGACCACTAGGTTTGAAATTACATACATGTAGTTTCCCCCCCCCCCCCCCCCATCTCCAAACTATAAAATACTATTCTAGCTGATTTCAAGGGCCATAACTCCAGAAAAAATAGTCTTACAAATTGAGGTATAATGTATAGCTTGAAACTTGAAGAAAAAAAACCCAAACCTATACCTCATTGATTATGATGATCCGTAAATACACAAATCACATCGGCTGGCAAACTTAGCATGAGTTGGATGTGCATAAGGAATTTGGTTGAAACATCTTAATAATATCTACAGCAATTATCACACGAAAACCAAAGAATGCCCGAGATTGGTGGAAAGACAGAGGAACACAAACATTGTTATCAAGTTTGAAGGAATTTGGCTAATATTTGCTAGAGTTGTTGAGCGGAAACGGCAGATAATGACGTTTTTCATTAATCTGTAAACTACATGACATAAAACAACCCAGTATCTCAAATCCTTTTAAACATTTTTTTGGCAGGCGTGATAATCATCGAATCCACAAAATTCCATAGTCCCGATCTCTTCCGACCCCGAGTCTGGTAACCATTTTGCTTTTCATGTGTGGAAGCCATTTTCTGTAGCTTAGACATTTCCTGTAGCTCTTCCTGTTCAACCAAATAACGATCGACATCATTAACCTACAAAAAAGGAAATCCATCCATTGAACTGTCTGATAAATATGTTAATGATTTATTGTAGATTATTTCAGTGGTCAATGATTTTTTCTTGTGTTACTACACATCCCTGGTTATAATGAAAATGATGAAAATAAGAAATATCTCATAGATCTACTATACTCTTTAAAAGACATTTTGAATTAAAGACAGAGAATTAAAACATCAACAAATAACAACACTTTCCAAGTATAGAACTACATAGGAGTCCCTTTTTCTTTCCATAATATATTGTGTGAAAAAAAATGTAGAGTACCAACACAATCCAGGACCTAAAATTCTTCGTTAAAATGTCAATCTTCATATACCAGTCCCAGGAAAATATAAAAAAATAAATCAGCGACACCTGTATGATGTACAGTGGCAAGGAAATCATGTTTCAACTTATGTTTGTATAAATGCATAATATACCCTCCAATTGAAGATGACCATAAGCTAAAGCTAAAGATGCAGCTGGGATTAGAAAATTTCAACATTTATCATAGTGTGTACATGATATTACCTGAATACCATGCTCTTCAGGGTGTGTCATATTCAACAGTCGCTCCGACTCTTCAGATGGTGTAGCTAGCCTCTTCCGACCTCTGAGACTTTTTGAGAGTGTTGCTGGTCTCAAATGATCACTTTGGGCTTTCGATGATATAGCTGACCTCAATCTAATTCTGTGACCTTCAGATGGTGTCGCGGACCTCATACGACCTCTGCGAGCTATTGATGTTGTTGCTGACCGCATTCCATTTCTGTGACTGGATGGAGTTGCTGACCTCAATTGACCTCTGAGAGATTTTGATGGTGTTGCTGACCTCAATCGACCTCTGTGACCCTTGGATGGTGTTACTGACCTTGCTTGACTCCTGTGACCTTTGGATGATGTCAATGACCTTGTGAAAATCTTTACATCTTTAGCTGGTGAAGCTGACTTTCTACCTTTGGGAGGTTCTGATGACCTTGTGTGGGCCCTGTGACCTTTTGGTGAGTCTGATGACCTTTGAACTTTGATTGATGACCCTAAGAGTCTTTTGTGACCATTCGATTGAGATGTATTCTGCTTCCGCCTTCCATCCCTCAGGCTCTGACTATCTGTACCTAAAATAGTAGTTTATACAGGTGTAGATGAATGGTTTTTTTTTACCATAGCTTGTTAATAGGAGGTAAAACATTATCAAACAAACATGGGTTCACATTATATAGATACTAGACTGTAAAGAATATCCTACCAGGGTTCTCCCCAGGCCATTTAGCTGATACGGCTCCGTATCAGCTTCAGTTTGAAATCCTCCCTGCCGTATCAGTTTAATTGACCCGTATCACCTTAGACTGTGAACCGTATCACCTTGTTATTTGTACTGAAGGTGGTCTTTTTATGCAAGAAATTGACACTGATTAAAACACACGGCTGACCCAAGTCCAGCAATGACCCCACTGGTCATGATCATTTGCACGATAGGCGTATTGCCACAGGGGGGCTGTAATTAGTGGGGAGGGGGACCGGACGACAAGCCCACAGGTGTCCGGCAAGCGTGCTCACTGGAGCCTAAAGCAATTACCACCGGATCCTTTTAGCATGGTCAACAGGTGATTAATTGAGGTACCTACTGTTGGATTAACAAAACAAACACTTATTACATCTATTATAAATTAATTTACTCACATATGATTGCATTTGACAACGCTGAAA